CAAACAGGACATCCGCACGCAAACGGTTGAAGCCGGGCCTACTCCAGCAGAACCCGATGCAGCAGCAGCAGCAGCAGCAGCAGCAACAGCCAGCAGCAGCGACGGCAGTAGCAACAGCAGCAGCAGTAGCAGCAGCGGAACTTCATATCCCTGGAAAGCTGAGCTCAAGACGTTCCAACAGTGTTTCGTTTGTGGGGATTGGATGCTCTTTCACAGAGTAACGAAAGTCTGTACACTAGTCTATTCGCCACGATACACGATGCAAACCGAAGTGCGTGTAAACACGTCATCAGAGAATCAGGGAGGGGTTGAATGGTGTGCAAACAGGACATCCGCACGCAAACGGTTGAAGCCGGGCCTACTCCAGCAGAACCCGATGTAAACGCTAGGCTTCCATTCACACCAGCCTTCTAGTCACATCAGGCTTCTATTCGAACCAGGTATTTCTATGTGCAGTAAAGTACCGCCAGAGCGCCCCGTCTCACGAGAGCGCCCCACCTTGATTTTACAGCTAAGGGAAGAAAATTGTATGACCGAGTGGAACGAAGTTTGTACGGTGTGAGAACCTTAGTGTACTAAGGTCAAACTTAGCAGGCTTTCGGATGGAACTCGTGTCAGGTCGAAGGTAAATTGACTACGGATTGACTGCACACCGTGCAATGTGTGTACAAGGTGCGTGTCGTATGACCTACCGACAGTACACCACCTCCACAAGACGACCACGAAGGGACGAGATGGTGGGGCGCTCTGGCGTGTATGCCAACACTAAAGGCAGGCTTATGGGCAACAGGGTATCTTGAAAATCAGGCTTCTATACGACACAGGCTACCACACATAACACTATGGTACGTGTACACCAACACAGCATACCTGCACACCAATCCAGGCCATGTCCACCACCGATTTGCTGGAGTCGGAAAACTCGGCGCGCTGCGCGGCCTGGTTCACATCCCAGACGATGATGCGGCCCGTGCTATCGGCCGACGCCAGGCGTAGCGAGTACGGATCGCCGAGCGTGTGCGCAGATGATTGGGGCGCCCATTTCACCTGCACAGCAAACCAGAAAAACCAGCGAGGCACACAGAATGATACGGTGGGGAAACGCGATCGACTGGTCCTTATCCAGTACAGCCGCTGGTAAAAGATCACACGGTAAAACCCGCCCTAACCGTACGCCCTTGGTGCAGCGGAATCTGTCCTGATTCGACAGGTTGCCGCTTGATCCGGGGATGCACATTCGATCCACAGCATTTTGGTGCATGAAAATGTGCTGGGTCAATACAGGACTCCACTTGGTACTACAGTAACAGGCTGTGGCAAGCACAGACTCTACTACACGATGATAGATGTCAGTCTAGGCCGTGGACCATATGTGTGTATAGTGAAGTGCGTGTTTCTCCGCTTCACAACCAGCCTATGATACATACATACACCCGGTCTCCGTAGGCAAGTGGAGATGCACTATTATTATTATTATTTATTCACAATCACGTGGCACTAGCCAATGAAATGGTGATGTGGGCAATAGCCAGCCATGGCGGTAATAGAGCTAGCGGGGAGAAAGAAAAAGAAGGAAAGGCATGCTTTTAAAAGTGCGAGAGAGCACGCACGCACACACACACACACACACGCTCGCGCGCGTGCGCACACATGCACACACACACACATGCACACACACACACACACACAAACACACACACACGCGTGCACACATATGTACACACACACACACACACACACACACACACACACACACACACACACATACAAACACACACACACACCACACACACACACACACACACAAACACAAACACGCACACACACACACACACACACACACACACACACACACACACTGCACTGTACTTGCTCACTGCCAAATTGGTCTCATGGGTCTCCCCGGGAGAGGAGAAAGAGACTCAAAAGGAATCTTGGAAAGATGACTCAATTGGCTATTGAATCGTCCAACGGCTGATACCCCTGAAATCCTCAAACTCTGGGTGGACTTAGAAATGATCCCACTTACGGGCTCAGTAAGTGGATGAGGACAAGGTGCAGAAAGAGGATTTGACGGTATCAGGGTATCCGTCCCGGGATCCAACACAAACACACACACATGCACGCGCGCGCTCACACATATGCTCGCTCGCACACATATGCTCGCTCGCACACATATGCGTGCCCGCACACATATGCGCGCCCGCGCGCACACACACAAACACACACACAAACACACACACATACTCGTGCGCGCACACACACACACCTGCACACACGCACGCACACCATGTACACACGCACACACACACACACACACACACACACACACACACCTGCACACACACGCAAATGCGGTACCTTGTGAACAAAACCGGTCTGGTGGTCGACAGTCTGCACGACTTGGAGTGTGCGAGGGTCAAGAACAACAACAAGACTGCGACAACCGTACGCCACCATCTGTTGCCAGGACCTGCAGAAAGGCATACATAACAGTACAACAACAACAACAACGATGACGGCAGCAGCAGCAACAGCAGCAGGTGCAGCAAGAACAAGGACAAGATCAACAGCAGTAGCAGCAGTAGCAGCAGCAGCAGCAGCAACAACGAAGTTGTTAGCAAAGTTGACTGTATAATGTATGGATGGCAGACATACGGCTTGTGCGTGTATTCTTCGCCTACAGGCTTCTTTCAAATTAAATTGTGGGCTCAATTTTGTTCACCTTGCTGCTGCATAAATAATTGTAATTTTTGTTTTGTGTGGAAGTTTTTTTTCGTTTCGTATCAGTTCGAATGAGGAGAATGAACACATGAGTTTGTGGCATCAAACTGATCCAGATTGAAATGTGCATTGCATTGTGTACTAATACTAGAAACGTCAAGACCGTCAGTAACAGCTAGTTTACAAGTGTTTCAGAAAATAGCAAGCGCAGCGCTGTCGTTGTTTGTCGGGTGCATTGCAGTCACGTCCTGAGTAGCGCTCAACAATTACTAGCAATTGCATTGCTGGGCAGAGGTGTGCAAGGCTCGGCACGAATGGACGAACTGAAGCCACCTGACGTCCAAGTTCGAAAGTTCAAAAGCAAACATTCTGTCATGCTCGTGCTCCGCAATACTATTAATTTGCCATCTAGAAACAGACTTCCAAGGACAGAAGAGCCCATCAGCCTGTTTTGATCTCCAGATATTTGAACGTGAATGAGTGGGCCCTAGCCGGTAGAGTACCGACACTACAGCCTGCATGCTGAAGAATAGTAAACTGAGAATTTCCAAAACAAATTGCAAAACGAATTGACGGACCATTTTCTCGCTTACCAGTCAGCAGCTCCGCGATTCTGCGGGCAAAGCGAGCCTGGCAAAGTCCGCGGGGAGATCTTCATGGTTGCGAACCAGCAACGAAGAAAGAGGCACCAGAAACACTTCCAGCTCAGCTTTCTCAACGGCGTTCACATCATCATTTCTCTCCATCACACACACTTTTACTGACAATGTTTTGAGGGCAAGCCTGAGTGTACGAGTCGTAGATTCTACTACATGTACAACTCCGCATTGGACAGTCCGTGCGCCGCGGCGCTGCCTTCCTGCATGCTGTGCACATGATTGTGATCTGATCGTCTGTGACCATGGTGACGAGGGCATCAGCAAGATTTCTATTTTTTTTAGTATTTGTTCCGCTTGATGCGCGTGAGTGTCGTCCTCGCCGTGGTCGTCCTCCAAAATGTGCTGTCCAGTCCATCGGTGGATCTTCCTCTTCCTGTGAAGATGTGACTGCATGCCCGTCCTCCTCCGCGTGTGTAGAGCAGGGTCCAGCAGAGAACAGCGTGAAAGATGGTGAAAGACCGACACGTAAACCACGGAAATTGACAAAGGATCTGTCCGCGTCGGGAAGGGTTACGCGGCTAGCCAAGTAAAAATACGGACTGGTGAGGACGCACGTACAACGACAACGGAAGTGACAACAACAGTCAATATTCGAAAACGTGGTAGACCGCGAAAACGAACCTCAATATCGGACACCGGACAAGTTGGAGTAAGAAGCTCAATAGAAATCCGCAATGGAGGAGACGTAGCTGAAAGGACACTGGGCATCGCGCACACAACGGCTAGTGTCAGAAAACGTGGAAGGCCGCGGAAAAGCAAAGAGACGGATAGTGGTGATGCCGCGAAGAGGCGAGATGACGGGACATTGGAGGAGACAACACCCAACGGAGCTAAGAATCGCACTTCGTCAATCAAGCAACATCTGTCAGCGCGTACCAATTGTCGTGAGTTGTACAGTGATAATGTGTTCTCAATATTGTCACGTGGTAGATGTGCGTTGCATCTGGCTGTGTTAGAAGCTTTGTATATCCGTAAGTTAGATCCTGAACTTTGCGTACAGAAAGAAAATGTGTTGTCACTACAATTGTTTGGTGTTACTCCTCGTCGAGGTGTTAACAATGTAACTTAATTTGCTCACTATGTTCTTTTCACTATTATTATTTCCTTCGAGTGTTGTGTCGTGCTGAACTTGATAATTTTCCACCTTGTCACGAGTGTTGTTATCTCATATTTTTACGCTATATAAGTTTTAGTCTTTCCAACTTGAGCCATTCCCTGTAAAATCCTTGATGAGAAGGGACCGAAAACGTTCGGATAATTTGACAAGTGCCTTATTTTGACTGGATGTGTGTTTGCGTGGATACTTATGACCCAACACGTACCTTCGTTAGTAAGTATTACATTTTGAAAATTATTTATTATTACTATTATGAAACTTGGATGTTGAGCCATAAATAAATGTAGAAAGGAAAAGGACATAATGACACGAGTTAAGAGTAACTCTCCATCACTGTAACTGGATACTATATACAGTCAGAAAGTGCAATAACTAAGCACAAAACTGACAAGAGTACTGAGACATTCGACGTCCTGACACCTAGCTTCAACACATCTCCGTAGCGCTAACCGACAGCCTTCCAACTTGGAAGGTTCAAGGTTATGGAAAGACCAAAGAGGGGAAGGCAAGCGCAACGAAAACGAGCAAAAGCTACAGTCCCAACGGAACAAAGAATGTCGATTGTTACTGGACGATGACGAGACCAGTATGATATTTGACAAAGCGGTCAAACTACAATTCGAAGCAGCAAAGCAGAACATCACCCAACTTGGGTGGGTCATAAATATCAAAGATAAGTAAAGAAAGGGGAAGCTTTGCGAAAACGAATTGTACAAGCCGAAAGCCAAACTCCTACAGTACTCCTCATGCATGACATTGATGAGCCGTCACGAACCATACGGCGAAACGTACGTCGTGTGAAACAACTTGTTTTGTAGTCAACTAGTCCATCACAATGTCATGCATGAGGAGTACTGTAGGAGTTTGGCTTTCGGCTTGTACAATTCGTTTTCGCAAACCTTCCCCTTTCTTTACTTATCTTTGATATTAATTTTATGACCCACCCAAGTTGGGTGGTGTGCTGCTTTGCTGCTTCGAATTGTAGTTAGACCGCTTTGTCAAATATCATACTGCTCTCGTCATCGTCCAGTAACAATCGACCTTCTTTGTTCCGTTGGGACTGTAGCTTTTGCTCGTTTTCGTTGCGCTTGCCTTCCCCTCTTTGGTCTTTCCATAACCTTGAACCTTCCAAGTTGGAAGGCTGTCGGTTAGCGCTACGGAGATGTGTTGAAGCTAGGTGTCCGGACGTCGAATGTCTCAGTACTCTTGTCAGTTTTGTGCTTAGTTATTGCACTTTCTGACTGTATATAGTATCCAGTTACAGTGATGGAGAGTTACTCTTAACTCGTATCCTTATGTCCTTTTCCTTTCTATATTTATACTATTATTATTAAATTTTTGATAGGGCAATCCCCACAGGCCTAAGGCCAAATTTTTAATATCGGTGTGTTCGCTGGAAATCGGGAGATTTTACACTTATACGGTGCACGTGATTCATTTTCGCACAGTTTTATCAACACGTGACCCACTTTCTCTCATTTTTGCTAATTTTTGCCAACACGTGACTCAATTTCGGTCAGTTTCCCCACACGTGACACAAATTTTAGAGCAGCCGAATGCAGATAAAGACTGGAGATCGGGCCAGGACCTTTGCTTCCCAGGTCTCTGAAGGCAAGATCACATCTGCACTCAGTCTTCTCGACGAATCCACCTCAGCGGGATTACTAGACCTAGATGACCTGGCGGACGAGGCTACAGGCACCACTGTACGGGAGGCTCTGAAGTCAAAGCACCCGGACAGCACCCCCCCCACCCCCCCCCCCCCTGTGTCCTGACGCACTGATACAGGAGAATCCACCCCCACTGCCACACCCCATGATGTTTGAAGCGCTGACTCGCGATGTCATCAGGAGGGCCGCTCTCAATACCCACGGTACCGCAGGCCCATCTGGAGTCAACGCGGAAACGTGGAGGTGGATGTGCACCCTGTTCTCCGATGCTTCCGATGGTCTATGCGATGCTCTTGCTTTATGTGCTCGATGTCAGGCCACGGAGTTCGTTGACCCACAATTCATTGATGCTTACCTGGCCACTAGACTGGTTCCCAGGATAAACGCCCTGGTGTTCGTCCGGACACCTTTCTATATTTATACTATTATTATTAAATTTTTGATAGGGCAATCCCCACAGGCCTAAGGCCAAATTTTTAATATCGGTGTGTTCGCTGGAAATCGGGAGATTTTACACTTATACGGTGCACGTGATTCATTTTCGCACAGTTTTATCAACACGTGACCCACTTTCTCTCATTTTTGCTAATTTTTGCCAACACGTGACTCAATTTCGGTCAGTTTCCCCACACGTGACACAAATTTTAGAGCAGCCGAATGCAGATAAAGACTGGAGATCGGGCCAGGACCTTTGCTTCCCAGGTCTCTGAAGGCAAGATCACATCTGCACTCAGTCTTCTCGACGAATCCACCTCAGCGGGATTACTAGACCTAGATGACCTGGCGGACGAGGCTACAGGCACCACTGTACGGGAGGCTCTGAAGTCAAAGCACCCGGACAGCACCCCCCCCACCGTGGGGATGCACCCCCCCACCGTGGGGATGCTCTTGCTTTATGTGCTCGATGTCAGGCCACGGAGTTCGTTGACCCACAATTCATTGATGCTTACCTGGCCACTAGACTGGTTCCCAGGATAAACGCCCTGGTGTTCGCCCCATTGGTATTGGCGAGGTTCTGCGCCGCAGAATGGGAAAGTCCATCCTCTCCATCATTGGTCGAGACATCCAGTTGGCAGCAGGAAGCTTGCGACTATGTGGAGGTCAGGACTGTGGCATCGAAGCCGCAGTCCACGCAATGATCGACATCTTTAACTCCCCTGACACTGATAGTGTTCTGATGGCAGTGATGCGGCTAACGCATTCAACAACCTGAACCGCAGCGTATGCCTCTGGAACGTCTGCCATCTGTGCCCTGCGCTGGCAACGGTGGCCATCAACTCGTACCGAAGTCCGAGTCGCCTATTTGTTGGCGGTGAAAGCATTTCTTCCAGCGAGGGCACCACACAAAGGGATCCACTGGCAATGCCTCTCTACGCCATCGGCATTCTCCCTCTCATTCAGGCAACCGACATGGATGGTGCCAGACAGCTGTGGTACGCAGATGATTCCTCTGCTGGCGGTAGGCTACGCCGCCTCCGGACGTGGTGGGACTCCCTCATGTCACGTGTCCCAGGCTTTGTGTACCACCTTAACGCGGCAAAATCCGTACTGGTCGTGAAACTGGGCTGCGTGGAAGAAGCCATGAGGATCTTCGCTGATACTGGCATCCAGGGAACTGCTGAGGGGTATCGGTATCTCGGTGCAGCGATAGGCACTCCTGCCTTTATTCAGGATTACCTCCAGAAGAAGGCAGATGCATGGTGGAAGGAGATCGATGTACTGTCCTCTTTTGCCCTCTCTCAACCACAAGCAGCATATGCAGCCTTCACACTTGGCCTCACCAGCAGGTGGACGTTCCTCCGCAGGGTTCAGAAGGAGGCCCAGGAAGCCAGGGCACACGTCGAGCATATCATCTACACCAAATTTCTACCAAACTTGACGGGACAGCCTATTGACACCGCTCTCAGACATCTCTTGTCTCTCCCCTGCCGTGAAGGCGGGCTCGGTGTGCTTGACCCGACCGCACTGGGGACGCAGCACTGTTCATCTCGATACGTCACCTTGTCGCTCGTTGAGAACATCGTCGCTCAGCGCCCACAGCTTGGTGATGCGCAAGCCGCCGTCAGCCACATGAAGACCAGGGTACGCAATGAAGCCCGCCGCCGTATTCAGGAGGCTGCTGCGTCGTTCATCAGCGCAGCTCCTGAAAGCCTGCAGCGTATTATCCACCTGGCCCGCGAATCTGGAGCGTCCAGCTGGCTAACCTGCCGTCCACTGAAGGCTCAGGAGTTCTCACTACCCAAGAGTGAGTTCAGGGATGGTCTAGCTCTGCGGTATGGATGGCAGCCCAGCCGCCCACCATCAGCGCGCGTGTGTGTGGTGAGC